ATCAGAGTAAGGTAAGAATTTTCTTGGGCTTTTACACTTGCGAATTGGTTTAGGAAGCTCGAGCTAAATCCGTCAAAGTCCCTGACGGCTCCTGGGGGCAATTGGTGAAACAAATCCTGCGCTGGTCCTCGCAGGGTCGTCAAGAACGCTCGACACTGAACGGGGTCGTTATAACAGTGCAATACTGCCATGTTTTCGAAACTCCTTAGATGTCGAGAGGGATCAGTAGACCCGTCATACCAGATGTTGAGCTCTCTGAACCCCTGAGGCAAGTCGGCGTCTAGAATATATTGCGAAAAAGGGTGTCCCCTCGAGCTTCCCGTTTTTCTTCCTTCCACTCGAGCCTGCAAGTCTCGGACCTGCGCTAATAGCTGCTCCAGGGTATCGTTTCTGGCTTGTGGATTAACAGTTCTGACAGAGGACTCTTCTTCATCTACCCGCCTGTTCTGCCTCTCATGTGATTGCGCCTGTTGCTCGCGCTCAAGGGGTTGCTGCTCATTTTGAGGCTGCTCGACCCTTGCTTGTTCGATCCTGGGCCGCTCGACCCTTGGTTGCTCGACTGGCGTCTGTTTGAGTTGGGCCGCTACTGCCTCCGCGATCATTATCTGCATCTCGCTTCTCGTCATGGTCAGCGTTTGTTCCTCGACTTGGAGCGGTGGCCTTGTCTCTTGATCAGGTTGCCCAGGTTGCCTTCCCAACCTTAAAGATATTTCGATCGATGCGTGACCATCCACTTTTCTGCTCGTGTCCTTCACGTGACTAGCCTCCCCTTGGGTGAGAACTGGGATCTTGACTCCGGGTGGGGTAATAGGCGTCTCCTCTCCCATCTGCCCTCCTGACGGCGCGTGCGCCCCAAAAGGTGGGAATCCCAGCACCTAGAGTGGTGGTCTAAGGCTGGGAATCGGCGGAGGTCGCTTGTCAGTCCATGTTGCCCTGAAATCTTCATTCAAGTTTTTCTGCACTCCTTCCTTCTCAGCCATCGGAAACAGATCAAAGCTAGGTGTAAAGCTCTTAATTCCTTCAAGAACTCCCCACAGACGGCGCCAAATGATGGGTCTATTTCCGAATCTAGGGTGAACCGGTGGAAAATCGCCCAGATCTGGAATGAACCGATGAGAACGAGCTCAGATCTGTCCTGATGGTCTCCAAATTGCTATCGAACCACAAGAACACCTGCAAGAACTCAACGCCGGAGGGGTTTCCGGCGTAGAGCCTCCGACGCTCAAGTCAGTATGTGAAAGAGATGAAGAGAGCTGCTCTGAGAGCAGCAGCAGTAATGGGAAAGAATGTGGAATGAATGTGAGTTAGGGTTTTGGAGTTACCTCAGCTCCTTTATATATAGAAATGGAACATTTACCTGAAGTCCCCAAAACGCCCCGGCCAACTTACTGAAAATGTCCAAACTACCCCGGTCGGTTCGCATTCCGTCCATTTCCTAGTCAGCTTCTAGATCCTTCCTTATCCTTAGCTTCCCTTCGATATGCTGATGTATCAGAGCTGTCGAGATTTATGGGCTTCCAGATCTCTTCAGTCGACTTGATCCAATCGACTCGAGTCGACTGGGTCATACTCAATCGCTAATGGATCCTGATATGCTTTTGACCGTAGCTTCGCAGGGAATCGACTTATACTAGTCGACATGTAGGAGTCGACCGGAGGGTATTTGGACCCCTAATTGGAGATATTACAGGGAATATGATGAAGGAGTCGGCTTTGGCTAAGTCGACTCGGTAATTCTGGAACCCTTGATAGTATAAATCGTTATACGACAGTATGGCTATATCAGTATTAAAACCAAGAAAGAAAATAAAACACGACTTTCGCTAGCTGACTCACGACTAACTAATAAGCTTACAACTAAACAAACTAACTACTATAACTAACTATTGTTACTACCCTATATTGTTACTACCCTATAGAACACTACACAATCCTACACATTTCATTTACCAATAATGTCCTGCATTGCTATTTACCATTTGTAGAGGAACAAAAAGAAAATTGCATATACTTGCATAGAAATGAACCATACATTCACAAAGGAGAAACACATGCATTTGTTGCCGAGAAACATAAGTGCTCAAACGTCTATGAAGATTGACAAAGGAATCAAACATAAGTGCAAATGTCTATGCATGCAGACAAAACACACATTGGGGTAGCGATGATGGATTAAATTTTCGGTGGATGGAGTAGCAGAATTGTTGAAGTACTTTTGTGTATCTGTGTGTTTGTTTTGGGTAATATTTGTTTGTGTAGTTATCCACGACTATGTAGATTATTTCACGTAAGTGTATTATGGCCGAAAATTATAAAAAATGATTGGTAAAAATGGTTAATTAGAATTTTAGATATGGAGTTGTTTTCTCTCTGTCTTGCTCTTTCTTTGCGCGTGCACGTCCGTGTGGTTCTGAAGAAAACAAATATTGCCTGATTGAGGAAAAGATTGGTGGGATAGGCGTGGCGGGTGGAATGGGAGATTGACCAGGAAACAAAGCAAATGATGTCAAATTTAGGGGTAGTATTGTCATTTTTTTTTCAAACGACAAATATATTGTTAACTTAAAAACTCAAAAAGAGTACAAATCGAAGTGTCAACTGGCACTACTGGAACCAGAAAACTACACCAACCCCCCTTGAGTCCACATACGTGGTCAAGGGGGTACAAACTCCATCAAGGAGATCTAACCGCCAAAACAAACTCCACAAGGGAGACACCAACTCCAAAGAGGAGACTAACAACCAGACACAACTTGACTTAATGAAAAAACAACGGAGAAAGATAAAAAAACAAGTCACACCTAATTAGCAAAGTAAAATAAAACCTTCCCTAAACCTAGCAGACGAACCCCACGACCACCAAAACCAACAACCGACTCATACCCACAACAAAGAACTCCAACCGAGCAACAAGAACTAAGCTCCAAACCCAAAAACTGTGACACTCAACCCGCCTAGAAGGATTTTTGGCCCAGATCTACACTCCAAAGAACTTCAATGCCTGAGATAGGAAGAGAGACCGCAAGAACACGCCAAAGGGATCGAGACTAAAACACCCGAGGAGAACACCCTAGGCGGACCCGCACCTGAAACATCCCAATCCTGCAAGCCGGGAACCAGACAGACCGTTGGCTAGTTGGTGCAACCGCACCATGGCAAACCGCAGCCGAACGACGACATCCTTTAAGGAACTGAACTGAGGCACGTGAGAACGGAACTCCAGCGGCATGGTGACTCCCTCGGCTTGAGCTGGAGACGACGATCGACAACCCCTCCGGTGCCGGGGAAGACAAAGCGGTGAAATCCACATTCGACCTTGTCAACCATCGAAACTCGGCCAAGGTCGGCCCGTTGGCCGCAGAGGGCGACTTGCCGGAAGAGGAGGGTGGCAGCGGCGCTGCTCAAATTAGGTTTTCTAAACTTTTTCCAAGGGGGAAAAGGGGACAGAGAAAAGGGCGTTTTTTTTTTTATTTTTAGGGGTAGTATTGTGACTTAAAATAACTATCATACATTAATACAATTCGATTTGCTCTTCATAGACAGACTTGGATTTGCAAGGCTGGGTAAGCACGGCTCCACACCAAGCTGGATGATTTCAATCTCAACCCTCTTCCGTTGATAAATAATTGTACATATTATGGTCAAAATTAAAGTTATTCACATGCTAAGGATATAAATCAAGCCGACATCATATGATTCAAAAGTCAAAACGTGATAAGGGAATGATAGGACTCATTATACCATATTATACTTAGAAACATGGGCTCTTTCGTCTTTCGGTATTTTTTGTTTAACTGTTGCCAGTATCTACATCACTTACAATTGCCCTCTCGATTGGATGAACAATAATTTGGGTCCACAAACGAAAAAGATAAACTCATTATTTATTCACAAAGTCTCTGAAAGAATCATAGTTGGAACAATGGATATCATACGCCTGATAACAAAAGAATTATAGAAACAGCAATTTGACAAATCAATAAGCTCAATCGAAAAAAATTTGCAGCTAGTAGAGTATGCATCTACGGTGGGCCGAGCAGGTAATCAACGCCAATCGAAATCGCACCTCCTCGATTCATACGTACCCGCGACTGTGCCATTGGATTTCAGCGGAACTCTAAGACCGCAGTCGATCTTCGGTTTCACCATGGTCGACTTCATGAACCAAAACTTCAGCCTTGTCCGGAGGTAGAGCTTCACGTCGATGTCGTACGCGCCGTCCCCGCCGTCCCTATTGTAGTTCGACATCTCCCTATTCCCGAGCGGAAGCAAGTGCTGCCCCCTGAAAACCGCGGTGACGTTTCGCGTGCTCTTGCGTCCCTGGTAGAAAGGCGGCAGGTCGACGGAGTTGAACCTCTGCCCCTGGTAGAAAGCCCTGGCCTCGATCCGGTCGTAGTAGATCCCTATGCGGCGGTTGGGGTTCCGGACCGTGAGGTTCACGGCGAGGTCGTAGCGGAGGGTGTGGTTGGCGTCGATGGAGAACTCGGTGAGGGAGGCATCGGTGGCGTGGAAGTTGACGGCGTTGGGCCGGAAGACGAGCCAGAGGACGAAGGCGACGATCGCGACGACAATGAGGATGGTGAGGATGATCTGGCAGATGCAGGTGCAGATGCAGTCGAGGAGGCAGCCGCAGCAGCAGGTGAAGGGGTTGCAGCAGCAGCAGTTGAGAGATGGTTTTTTGGTTCCTCCCATTGGTTGATGGAGTTTTTTTTGGCTTCGGCAGAAAGAGTTGTTGTAAATTGGGATTCGATTGTGGGTTTATATAGATAAAGTGGCGTGTGTATGTATCTGTGCGTGAATTGGAGAACTGGAAAGTGCAAGGTGGGGACGATAGGCCGCGTTTTTTTGTTATTGTGGTTGGATTTGGACACGCGGCGTCATTCCATTGGCTTATTTTTTTATTTAATTAGGAATATTAGAGCTCAATCTATTCGGTATAGGTAACCTTGTGAAATTAGGATTTCTTTACTTGGATAGGAAGGGTTAATATGAGTTTAATATTACATATAAGTTAACAAGAATGAAATTCATATGCGTTTTTAAGTTTTTGGTTACAATGTAATACATTCATTCACTACAACAAAAAGGAGTTTGTAACAACATAAATATAGTGACATTATTAATAATTGTAATTAAAATTGATGTGTTTGTGACGCTGTTTAAAAAAGTGTTATAAAGATAAGATTATAACAACACTTTTTAAAAAATGTAATGAAATCATGTCATATTTTTAAAAAATGTCGCCATGTTAACTTATATTGGGACATTTATTTAAAAGTGTAATTAAAGTATGGCGTTTCATACAAAAGTGTCGTCATGTTTAGTTATATGGTGACATATTTTGAAAATTGTATTAAAATAATGACATATTTTTAGAAAATGTCGCAATTTTTAATAATATATACAACATTTATCTCAAAGTGTAAGCAAAGTGTAATTACGTTAAGACACATAGTGCTGCGAACGAACCGAACGTTTGCGAACGAAAACTCGTCCGCGTTCGTTAAGGGCTCGTTCGTTTAATAATCGATCCGAGTTCGAACCTGTAACTCAGCTCGTTTATTATCCAAACGAACACGAACAAGTTCGCGAACATAAACGAGCGTTCGCGAACAACAATACTTTTAATAATATTATATATATTATTATTAGTATTATTATTATAATAATAATTATTATTATAATTTAATAATAAAGTAAATGACAAATAATTGAAAACTCCCACTTACTCGCTCCTTACATCTTGAAGCCACATAGGCTGCTCCTTTGAGGACCACCAAACGCATCCCGCCATTATTTGGAGGTTTAATTTAGGCTAATTTCCTTAATTTTTCCCAATTATTTCTTTGCATTGCAGAGTGGATATGTTTTGTTTAATTTGGGCTAATTTTTCTTAATTTTTTTTCTGTACATTACACTTGCTAAATTTTATGTACTAATTGTACTTATTCAAAGATAAAAAGCAGATTGGTAGAATTTCTTAAGTTTTGATAATCGAACTATTCGAGCTAATCGAACGCTCAAAAAGTTCAAATAATTTCGATTAACTAAACGAGCCGAACGCGAACTTAACGAACAATCAAACGAGCGAAAACGAACGTAAATTTAGGCTCGACTAGTAAACGAACAAACTAAACCAAGCTCGAATATTGGTCAAACTCGAGCTCTAACCGGTTCTGTTCGTTTACTGAAAAAGATGCAATTATGGACTGTAGTTCATGATGGGTGTTCTTGTTGATAAATTTGGATTAATCGGAAATGTTTGTTTTGCAGCTTGTGGGAGGGGTGGACCATGTGCAGCAGAACATTGCACTTGGGGAGTGGCCGTAAATTGTGGTGAGTTCGTGTTGTTTTTACTCTTTGATTGAGTTTTGTTGAGCTTTTTGCTTCTCATAGTGGCAAATGTGGCCGTAGGTACTTTTGAGCATTGTTAATGGCTCAGGGACTGTTAAGTGTGTATTAGAATAATTTATCCGTCTCTTATTCATGTGTCTAGTATTATTGTCAGTTCTTATAGCAGTAGTAAGTTATGTAACATTAACGAAGCAACATTGATATTGCAGGATGCTCCGATCGTCCTAACTTGTGTTTTGTTTCATCTATATGAAGACTTTTCTGAAATTAGTGTGAGGGAAAATTCTCCATTCTTGTGTTGTGGTAGACTGGTAATCATTTCTGTACATATTTAAAGAATCTTGCATGGGAAACAATTTTTTTGTTGGTCTTCTAAGTAGGTTAGTGATCTTATAAGCATGATCTTTCAGAAGAAAATGTAGACATATTTTGTTGGTTTCTATGTGATTAAATTATGCTTTTTCTGTGAGCTACTCACTCATGAAGATTCATGTTTTATCCTATATCTTGTAGGAGGCTACATCTGGTTGACCCGTCGCCGTTCACGGCCAGGGCGGGTCCATGGGTAAGGTGTCCAAATTGGTTTGATTGTTTGTTCGGTCTCTTACCAAAGTATGTTTGCATTTTTGGTAGTATCCGTATATCAATGTCATAACCATGTTTGCATGTTAGTTACTTGTGTAACATTGTTAGTATTTTTTTCGGCTATCCAATTCCTACTTTGTGTATTGATGCAGGGAAGTTCTTGTAACTCTTGCATTTTCATGGTTGGAGACACTCAGAAAGCAAAACTAGGTAGAATTATTCAGCTATCTATATATATATAATTACTAGCCAATAACATTTAATAAAACCTAATTAATTTTACCTATGTGGCAATTGAATATTTTTCCCTCCAAAAACCGTTACTTTTTTATGTATTTAATCTTTTATTTAATTATTAAATAATCAATACTAATCCCTTCAAAAATACAAAAAATCATTTTAAACTTTTTATTAGTGACAGTTGACCATATAATGTGTTGATCGTACAATGTGATTAGATGTTATTATTGTGGTTACATTTAAATTATTTTTTTAAAAAAAAAATTAAAAACGTATTTGAAATTCTTAAATAAATGATAAATAATTAAAAAAAAAAAGACGTACCAAAATATACATCACATCCAATCAGATAAACGCATGACATGCAAAAAAGTGAAAGAAAAATAATTAATCATTATATGCATACAAGTAACTCACAATACTTCACAATACTTTATTTACATCTGTGCAAATGCACAGGATCGAATACTAGTTATATATTATTGGAGTTAAGAAAAAAATATTTAGTTCCAACTTTTGTCATGAATGTCTAATCACGGTTATGTTACTATGTCGTCAAAGACGTAGCGCGTTGTTGTTGATTTTGTGCAATAGAGTCTGTTCTATCATGCATGACCATACGACCAACATATTCATCTATCTTCCATTGTTGATGTTGATGTTTAAGGTTATGTTTAAAAACTAAGTTAACTGTCTCGTTTTAATGTTCTCATATAATAGTGTAACTTTTATTGACTAGTTTTTATTTGTCTACTTCAATGTCGTCGTCGATGAGATTGATTAACTGTTTTTCTTTGGTTGTTTTGAAACAAAAAGATGGTGGTTAATCCAAGAACCCATGAAAGCAAGTGTATTATTTGCATCCATGTTATTCTACATTCTGAAAATACATTTGTGTAATTTATTTTATTTTATTTTATTTTATTTTTTATGTTATTTATTTTTTATTTTTTTTTATCAGACAAGATGTAACTTCTCCTTGAATTATATGATTGATTCATTATTTATTTAGTTGGCGTATATATTTTTTTTATATGTTGTCGTATAACAAAATTTCGTCTTTAGAAATATCATTACTTTGGAGATAATGTCATAATAACGACACATTTTTTAATGCATCGCCGATTGATAATTTTTGACAATACAATTTAGTGTCATAATAATCCGTATTAGTGACGCTATAAAATATGCTTCATGCATTGGGATTTACAACGCTAAGAGTTTATGTCGCAACTCGTAAAAATAATGACGCATTCAAAAAAGAGTCACCCATTAAAAACTAGATACACTAATATCTTGTGTTACTAAATTATGTACTAATGACGCACTTTTAGAAAACTGTCGCGTATTAGAGATTACCTATGCATTTAGATTGCGTCACAAATAAATTCGTGACATCAAATTTAGCAACGCAACTCGTGACGCTTTTGCAAGTGTAGGTAAATTTATATGTGACGCTAATAAATGTCACCAAATAAAAAATAAACGTTTGTGTGTGTTGAGAGACGATGATTGTAGGTTATTTCCATACTCGACTAATTAGATGTTAAAGGTGCGCGAGGTTTTCATATTTTGTAACTGCATGTGGGAATGAGAACGATTTTGTGTTGAAATTTACACGACGAGTTTGTGCGTGAAATCTTAAGTTCGATTAAAGGGAAAGCTTTTTATAGTATATTCATTAACAAGTTTGAGAAAAAGATTGGTTGTATACTATAGAGCATAGACTAGAATATATTAAAGTTCAGTTTTGTTATGAATCTCACATTACATAAGTAAATCATACAATATTCTATGATTATTTAAATAAGTATTAACAGTTTTATTAAGACGACTGCATACTATACATGTGCTGCAAACATTCAATTTAAACTAAATATTCAACCAAAAATCTTACTTTTTCATAAACTATAGATGTTGAACTTAATAATAAATTCATTAAAACTTTTTTTTTTTTTTTTAAGTTTGAGGGTGATATGGACTTTAAGTTTTAAAAAACTTGATGATACACATATCGATATTTATATTTGTAGTACATTTTTATATGAAATGAGTATTCGACTTAAATTACAAACTCGTTATAACATAGATCCGTCACCGCTCACATGTATTATTTTTTCAAGTACCATATATACATATATTGGAATACCTTTGCTTCTCATCTTTGTTTTATTTTAATCTAAATACGTTTATA